AGGAGTTGCAAATGTCTGTACCTTAGTTTCGGTGAGATATTCCAAAATCATTGAAAGGAACATTTATTCGAGTACATTCGTTAATTTGCGACATCTTATCTAATTTGATTTTATTAGTCTAGTAAACATATTCAACTTTAACCTGCTTTTTTTTTATAGAGAAGTTCAATTTCTCAATCTTTCTCTTTAATGTAGTAGATACAAATACAGAAAAGCAAATTTTTGTGATTTTTCTATATTTTTTCATGCATTCTTATTGAACATAATATGTGTTGTTTGCATTTCTGTAGTCTCTGAACCAACATAAAAATTTGAAAGACAACAGGATAATGTATAAAACAATTTTTTGTTTGCTATCGAAAGTTCCATTCAATCCGATACATCCATGAAATGAAAAGTATTGTAATAAATTTTTCCTGAATAACATTCAAATATTTAATTTGACCTGTCGGACACTGTTAACTGTTATAGATTTCTGATGTTTTCCAATAAATTGTTCAAGTTTTAGTCTAAATAGATGATTATGACTTTGAACAGAGTTTCTTCTTCTCGATGAAAACGAGTTTCTTTCACAATCGGTTTCTCAATCTGTTTTGTTGTTGTCATCCATGGTTTATTGATTCATTCGAAATTTTTACTCTTTTGCTTTCAATACTGTTCATTAGTTCGATTCTTTTTTTTTGTCATCCATTCTCTTAAGAAAAAAGTCACTCGAATAATGTAACTGATGGTAAGAATATTTCGTAAGGCTTCACATCAAAAATAGATTTCTGTATGAACATTTAAAATAAAGTAATTTTGTTTTTAACCGATATTCTACCTATGTTTAATGATCATACAAACATTAATTATATTGTAAATAAGTTAGATTTTACTGGAGAACAAACGAAGACTTGTGTAAAGAATTGATTTATCTGTAGAACTCTCAATACCAGAGATTCATGAATCAATTGTCCACGAATAATTAAATGACTTTAACAACGTAAAATTTCATTTTCATTTATCTTCACAGTGTATAGAGATGATGATCTACACCTCAGTCAGATCGGCATCTATATCATCACTCGAAATATACTGTTGATAATTTCTTCTTGATGTATTTTAAAAAGTGAATGTGCGAGATATGGAAATGCTTCAATAACAACTGTAAGTGATATTTTAATGCCAGTTGTTACCGACATCAACTAAGTTAACAGTTGACTGTTTTAGAGATGCAGGGTATTCAACATCGTGAAAGAAAAAAAATAGAATACATTCAAAGACTTTGTACGGAAATAGAGTGGATTCGACACGAATCTTGTCTTATTCTACGAGTACTTGTAAATAACAATTGAACAAAGAAGAAGTTCATTTTCATGTCGACAGATTTCTTCGACATAATTATTACTTTTAATGGATTGTTTTCTAAAAAGTAGTGTTTGAAGTAACTGAGGTAACCGATGCCACAATGATGTATTTTTGATGATGATCCGTTTGCTTGTAAAAGATTTTCTAAAGCTTGATGAAAATCGTCTTTTATTCATCAAGGTTAAGTCAATTTGATACAATGAATAAATAAATTAAATCGATGTCAGATTATTCTCATCAATAATCGTCCTTTTGACTTTTAAAAAGATTTCTATAGCTAGAGAAAAATCTTCTTTTCGTGCCAAACGAATACCTATTTGATTATTTAACGTTAGTTCACTAATCCGTGTTGATTGATTTTCTTGTTGAACAGAATCAACAGAACAAGTAGTTTGAACAGAAAAAAAAGTTCTTATTCTTCTGGGATACAACTTTGTGTAGATATATCGAGAAGTGGTCAAATATATAATTAGTTATATCTTCAATTTTAAATTTTAAATGAAACACTCAATGGAGCACCATATATGATCCAACAATCAGTATTTTCAAGGAGACACACATCAGAGATGTCTGAGATAAGAGCAAAATACAGCCTAGTTAATCTTCGATTGACTTACCCGCATATAAGATCCAAGATCGAGCACTTTTGAGATGAATGCCATGTCTAAAGTGTTTTTGGTGAGATACAATAAGGTAGTTTCTTTGGACAACACTTCATTAGTTGACGCATACTTAGTTCGTATAGTAGCTACTGGATTCAGAAACTTATAAACAGACAAATATGGATGAATCCTTAGGATTTCTACCACTTTCAGGTAAAATCTTTTTTCGAATTTTAGGGTGTGGGTATGGGTGTGGATGTGGGTACAATCGAGAAAGCGCACGCCTACACTACCCACCCACACCCACACCTACCTACACCCACAGATGGTAGCTGAATAATAGTTTTCATGGTGTCTAAAAATACGGAATCGTAGAATGTTCACAGATACTGACAATTCATTATGAAAACAATATTCCTGATATGCATGCAAAGCTATTTCAAGTGTTTCGAGAAAAAAATTCGACGGGTATTACTTTTCTTTGTTTCTTTCTCGTCCACTCAGTGCAGACAAGACTTTTTTTCTTCCGATATGTAATCAATGAAATCAAAGACAAAAACTTGATGCATACTCCACTAGATCTCATTGACATAAATTATAGTCCCAGAGTATTTTCTCCATTGTGATCGATTTGTTAAGTTCCTTACATGAAATTTTTTCTTGAAAATTTCAAATGAAACTTCTGGTTTGAACTCACTTTTTTTCGAAGAAAAACTTGACTCGTTGATTTATCAATCTTGCTAAACAAGAGAAAGATTTCATTCCTCAAGTGACCCTTAAAAAACGGTTTTTCATAGAATATATGTCGTGGTAGTTCGAATGTGGATTTTAATGATACCTTAACAGATGACTACCAGTCAATTAAAACAAGAAAATAAAGGCCATCGAAATTATTTTTGATATAATATCATCTTTGTGACTTCATATTTGATAAGAATAAATATGTTTGAATTAAATTAAATGACGAATAGATTAGTAAGATGGAAATTATTTTCATAAGTTTAAAATCTGTCAACATAGAATTATAATGGTTATTTGAAGAATAAAGATTTCAATAGAAAATTTATATTAAACATCACTAATTTAAAAACTATATAAAAAAGTATCGGAGATGAGTTTTTCATCAAAGACTAATAATCAATGATACTTATTAATAATATCGTTAAACTAAGCATTATTTATTCAAACTCTTTGCACAGTTCATCGCGATTTTGAAAGCATTTTAACAATGTTGATCGATAAAATCATTCATAAGCTATATTATATTGTCAAAAATTTACAAATAATGTCATTAAAAGAGAGAATCGAATAATGATGATCAAAATGTTTTGTTAATTTTAGGGTATATGGCAAAACCCAATCTCTTATCATTTCCCATTCAACACCCAAACTCATTTGTGATTGTGAAAGATGCAGAGAATATAATCCATGATCAAAATCGAGAAACGTTTGTAGTCAATCAAGTTTTTGTTGATTTGTTGAACCTTGCTGATGACCTACCCGGTGATGCTATGTATCAACAAATCACTTGTATGTTTAATTGTAAGATCAAAAATATGGATTTTGTTCTTCTGCGTGACGGACGACATGTCGTCGGATATAAATTACAACATTTTTGATTAAGACTTATGCAGGAGAAAATGTAGCACTAGCAGCTTTGTCGAACGATCTCGAAAATGGACAGACATCATCAAAAAATAAACGACAATCTAAAAAACTAAGCAGCAAGCATCGAATTCGTGTTTTAGTTGATGTTTAACAAAGATAAAAACGAGACATCAAATAAAAGCATGCTAATATACGTTTTTGTTAATAATAACATTTAGATGAAAGAAATATTTGATACGCGATACGAAAATATTGGTGCTAATGTCCTGAGCAGGTTCAAAGTTTGAAATCTGCGATCCACACGATGATGTTAAACCCGAAAATCATAATCATTTATCCATGTTCGATTAGGTACTTTCCATAAATATGGTTACAAGTGTGGATATAGCTGTGTATGTCACTAGTCTCACATCTCTCACCCACCCCTTAAAAGGAATAAAAAAAAAGTAGGCACTCCCAACAGTGTCTAGTATCTGTGAAAAAAAATTTTCAGCTCTATAGGACATATTTATTGTGGAAGTAGGAACTATTTGATCAGCATCATTCACACCCACACGGTTGTCTTAATGGATCTTCTGATTTTTTTATGCGTACTATTCTTCTATTTTATTTATCAGATAATAAAACAACACTCAACTAACGTGGTGATAAGTGTTTCTCTTCGTCATCTTCAGACATATTAACAGTTTGAACTGTTTCGGTGACTTTTCAAGCGAAAAACTGCATTATTCTTTTTCAAAGTCTATTTTCCTCTTTCCTCCTTCTCTTTGCATGAGCGTTCATTAGCTAGTTTGTAATTCATTTATATCTTACCATGAATTTGTAAAAGTTCAGTTATAGTTAATTAGCACATTTTAATAAAATGAAAAAATTTCTATTATTTTTTATGTGATGTTTTTTAAATGACAAAACATCAATATTTTATGCATGTAGTCCAAGATAAATTTTATTTTGTAATAGATATCAGTAAGTTAAAATTTAAGAAAAATCTCTTCCACCATTAACTAAAATATTTTGTCCAGTAATGTAGTTAGAATCTTTGCTTGCAAGAAATGAAACCAGGTTTGCGACGTCATCTGGATATCCTATGCGACCAAGTGGAATTATTTTTAGAGAATCGTCCACAATATCGTTCAATGTCTTTCCTTGAAGTTTTGCAAATTCTTCATTAGATTTGTCAGACAACGATGTCTTAATGAACCCTAATAAAACTTCATAGGTTTAATATTCAAAAATACTCTAAAGCATACCTGGACAATAAGCATTAACTGTAATATTTTATGGAGCCCATTCTATAGCAGCAGCTTGTGTTAAATCTCGTACACCTCATTTTGTGGCGCAATAAGGACTAATCATTGCACATGCTTTATATGCAACAGAGCTACCTGCACCAATGATTTTTCCTCCTCTACCTTGTTTAATCATAATTTTAGCTGCTTCTTTCTAACAAAGAAATACTCCACGCATGTTTACTGCAAAAACTCTATCCCAATCTTCTACAGCCGTATCCAAGAGTGATTTTACCTCACCAATTCCTGCATTTGCGACTACTACCTGTAGAATTGATTGCAAAAGTAAAGATAAAACAATCGAAAAGAGTGAAAAATACATACGTCTAGATTTCCTAATTTTTCTGCAGCCTCTTGCATCATTTTTTCGACCGATTTACTGTCAGAAACATCAGCAATTATAGTGATCGATTTTCGACCAATTTCTTCGATTTTTTGTTGAACTTTTTTAAGATCAGAAGAACTAGCTTCTATATCATTAACAGCAACATTGAAACCATCTTTAGCAAGCCGAAGAGCAATTGCACGTCCTATCCCTCGAGCAGCACCAGTTACCAAAGCAGCACGAATCATTTTCAATAGTATGCAATAAAAATGAACAAAGACAGTTACATCAATAAATCTCTCCTTTTTTCTTTTTCTTTTTCTTTTTTTCTTTCTTTTTCTTCATTATGGTTATTACAAAGTGATAGTGAGTTGGCAAGAAGGTGATAGTCAGTAAAAGTGACCTTTTCTCGTTCTCTTATTTTGACCTACTTTTCAAATTTTAATAAGAACAGAAAAAAAAGAAAGAAAAAAAGGTATAGATGTAATTCAGTACATTTTATTTTTTATCAATTAAGTCTGAAGAAGACAACATCGTCCGCTGAAACGTCAGAAAAACGAAAAAGAAACTTTTGCAAAAACCAAGAAAACATTTATTCAAATATAAACAAACGACTGGCTTGAGCCATGTTTTCACCTTATATATCTTACTGCTCACATACCTTTCACATGCTCATGTATAAAACATCAAGAACGATCAACGAAAAAAAAATCAATCATGTGAAACAAGACATTACTTATACAATTAGAAGAGAAACGAATAAAAAAATCACACGCTTCTTTCTAATTGTCTTTTTTGTCTACATTAACGTGTATGTGAACATATTACTACGTTCTTTTGCTTCAATAATCTTTGCTACTTGTTCAACATCAATAGCTAAGGCAATCATTCACAATTAATATCCTAGTTTGTCAAATAATGTCAATGAATGCTTTCCCACGAATTCATCTATCTTGTGGTTCTTCGTTCAATCTTAGCAATGTCACTGAGGCAAATTTTTACTAGATGTCTCACTCGAGATATTAATTTGTCATTTCCGTCATACAATATAATATTCCAACAAAGAAAATTTTAAATACTCTTGTTATTTCATCTCGACGGTTTAATGTATTCATTGAAAAAGAAGAAGAAAAAAGAAATTAAAAGAATCATTAGCAATATCTTCTCTCTAATAAGCTTATCATTTTATTTCAATAAATGAAAGGTTTGATGTTTAAGGAAATCCTATTGTAAATTAGAGTCCTGTAATCCAACCTGTGGGTATATTAGGTGTGGGTTCGACTTCATCAGGTCGAGCATGAGTTGAAGTTCAAAAACATATCAGGTTTTTTTTCGGATTTATTTTAGCGCAATCTTGAGCTCCTTATTTATTTTTCAATGATCTATCGAAAATTCAATGGTTGATAAAGGCATCGGTTCACGTTATATATACACCAAAACCTCCCATGTGAACACCTCTTGAATGTGAACACCTGTGTATAGTGAACACTTTTGAATATTCCCTTGAGTGTTCACATTAGAGAGGTTTTGGTGTATATACGATAGTAATGATTCCAACAGGTCTGAAGCAGTTTTACAATTTATCATTTTTTCCTAAAATATGAACAGGGTGTGGGGTGTGGGTGTGGATAGATATGGGTGTGCGTGTCGGTCTCTTGTTGAAAATCCACATCCACACCCCTACTTTTTGAAAAAATTAATTATATATTATGATAGAGCTTGAAATTCTCTATCATCCTATGTATTTCTCTATTGTCTTGATTATACCTATTCAAAAGAAAAATCCAGTACATTGAATATTATCTCAATTTAGAAAGATAAAAAATCTTTATTTTTCTATCTTGTTATATTGTCGTTAAGTATATGCAAGCACTTTGTGGAATAAAATCATATATTCTTATGGAGCTTCAAATGTTCGATCATCCTCCATATTTCACTTATGTGCTGCATGTAATAGATCAAAGACAATGCAAAAACAC